ACGTAGAACTACGTACGTATGTACATAAGTTCATGTTGCCATACCACATTAGCACAAAGACACAGATGTCAAATCAAATCCCATAGTGATAAAGATAGTAGAGGTATTAACGATAATGAAGAAGACTAGGGTTCGAAGATATTATTCAAGAAGTACAATTCAGTGAGATAAGGTTAGAAAGACAAAGGTAGAGGTGCTGACGATTCCAGAAGATTAGGATTTGAAAGAGCTCAAAGAATGGATGCACTTGCTTCATTGCAAACGATTTTGAGCCATGACTTTCAAGGTCTCTAACCATTGGTGACTTTCGTCTCGCGGACCCCAACCAGGTAGTCTACATCTACCAACATGGCTCAGTCCACTTGTCAATGACTTCATGGATTTGTGCCATGTTTTGGTCTGGCCGCCCCTAGCTTTCTCCCAACCTATGGCCTGTGTTTCATTGAGGTAACTAACTGAGTATGTCTTCATCTCCAACCTATATGCATTTTACTCTTTAAGTGTATTCGCCGACATAAAAGGGGACTTATTTATCAGAAAGTTAAATCAAGGTTTTATCCATTGAAAATAAGAAAACTTGTATATCATTGCAGATAAAAAAAATTGTATTCTCTTTAAAGACCAAAATCTTGATGTAAAAAGTTTATATGCTTATTGATATTCGTCATAATTAATAATATATGAGCAACTTTGAAATAATTAAACTTGTTAGTAAATAAATAACTTATAAATATTAAAAGACTACTGATTACTATATATTTGACGGACAGACAGATGCAACATAGAACTTCGTACGTAAGTACATCAGTTCATGTTGCCATACTTTATCGAATAGTGGAAGAGGTAGTAAAGGTATTAGAAGTAATCGGAGAGGTTAGAATTAGAAGATATTATTCAAGAATTATGATTCAATGGGAAAAGTTTACAAAGTTGAAGAATCCAGAAGATTAGGATTTGAGAGAACACAAAGAATGAATGCACCGGCGCCATTGCGAACGATTTTGAGCCATGTCATTCATTACTTCATCTATTAATTTGCCATTCTTACCTAGCACCCGAATCCTAATAACAGCGTTGCTCAAGTGAGTGTCCCACGATATACGAGCAATTCTTCGAAGACACCTATGATCGAAAACCAGTAACCTACGAATATCTTCTACTCTCACTAGCCATGTTTCACAGCCCTAAAGTAAGACGGAACGAACCACTGCGCAGTACACTCGTCCTTCAGTCAGCAAACGGATATCTCGCCTACGCCATAAGTGACGCAGGTTGGCAAAAGCCAATCGAGCCTTCTGTATCCGTGCTGAGATTTCGTCAGTCACCAGGCCATCGGCACTGATGAGACTCCCCAGATAAGTGAAGCGGTCTACACGTTCGACTACTTCACTACCTATCACTAGTTCAGGTGCCGATGCAGGCCAATATTGAAGCAACATTTTGCATTTCGAGGGGGAAAACCGCATTCCGAACATGCTTGCATTGTTGCTTAGGCTGGTCAGAAGACTCTGCATTTCGTCAGCGTCTTCACCAAGTAGGACAATGTCATCGGCATATTCTAAGTCAATAAGCGAGCCAGCAGGTTAAAGGTCTACTCCTGAAAATTCAGACAAGGATAAGGTTATATCTAGGAGCATGTCTATGATAAAATCAAACAAGAATGGCGAAAGTGGACATCCCTGACGGACACCACTTGAAGTGAAGAATTCCGGTGACAGTTCGCCATAAGCTCTCACTCGACCAGTGGTGTTCGAGTAGAGAGCTTGTATAAGGTGAATGTACTTCTTTGGTACACCTTTCAATGACAGACACTGCAACAGAACCTTACGATCCACTGAGTCAAATGCCGCTTTTAGGTCCAGGAAAACAACTATTGTAGGACGCCTAAATGTGTGTCTGTGTTGTCATCTAAATTATTTTTTACTTGTGCATATAAGCTTCTCTTATCAAGCAAGTATTCTTATAATGTTATTCTGAACTTTGATTAATGTGACACTGCATGAGATTTATGAAACCACAGGCGAAAATAGCTAAATTACATTGATCGCAGTATATGACGACAGTACATATGATATACACTAAGCAAATTTAGACAGTATATATATGCATGTGTCAGGTGATCGGTAAAAAAGAAACTGTGAAAAACAAGGCCAAGCTATTTTCGATAGAGCGCTGATTATGCATTTAACCAAGGTCGTATAACCTGCATTTATGTATTCTTGTCCAAAATTAAACAGATGAATTCACATGTACTCATGATTTTGGTACAGCTTAAATCAGTTTGGCAGTTAAAGATTCTTCATTATAGAATTATGGAGATTGTTTTACTGAAATCATGAATCAATCATTATTCTCATTAATGAGTGACTAACTTCATGAGAAAATTCTCAGAGTTCTAGTGCGAAGACGTGCTGTTACGGGTATGAGGGCGGTTATTACTTCCCGGCTGTCCACACCGTGGAAGGTTGTTTCTTGAGGGACTTGAAAAGGAAGATAGATTAGTGTTGGTCTTAGAGACCTGGGAGCATGACCGCAAAGTCTAAGGGACAACTGCTTGAGGCCAGTCACGCACGGCCTTTTTATGAAAGGTTTTTTTTTAGGATTAGCTCTGCTGTTTTAAAGCCCTTAGTGGGCACCCTTACCAACGGAGACGGAAATCCGTGAGGTAGGGTGAGGTGTGACATTTTTACGGTTGACCTTTTCTAACACTTCATTCCTTCCTTGTGAGAAGGCAGCATTGCTGCAGATGCTGGTTGTCTGAGGGGAACACCTTACTGCTGTCACACCCCTCTGCAGTCAGCAGTACGACTTCGCCCTCAGACCTTGGGTAGCGAAGGCGTGACTAGTGGAATCCAACCCAGTCGATTGTAGACAATAACTACCGAAGAAAAATGAGTGGGGTCGCGCAAAACCCCTTACACTGATCAAAGTAAGACATTAACATTGTTAAATACCGGTTCAGTGGTTCACCACAGGTTAGGGCATTGACGCCAAAAGACCAAAAGTCCCGAGATCGAATCCTACCAGTATCAGGAGTCAGTGATGTGCACTGCTTACAAGTCGTCCCATACCAGGATGAAACAACCATCCAAGCCTTACCTACTCTCGTTGGTACTTGAATAACCAACTATAAACGAAACATGAGATATCTATAACTGAATCGTACAACCATGGAACTTATGCATGTACACCTAGTCGATTTAGGAATCTAGTTCATAAAAATTCAACTAGTCTCATACATGCCCCATCACATATTGACAAAACATACACATACGAAAATCTACGTTGTTGCTGACCGACTGACGTAGACACACAATCACTATTGGTGATGTAATAGGTCTAGAGGCGATCAAAGATGTAGCATCAGTCCATCTGCGATGTACTGGTAGTAGTTACATGCTATCTGGTTAGAATCCGTGAGATTATTGAACACATTCATTCCTCATCTTCATTAAATCTTTGGTTTTATTCAATGTTTACCAAATATCATCAAAAACACCAATCAGAAGAATGAACAACGATTGGATAGAACTAGAAAAGAATGCTCAAGACAGAGTCAGTTGAAGAATGCTAGTCAGCGACCTATACTCCATTGGGGATAACAGGTGTAACTCTCGTTGGTGATTGAGGGAAACATGAGATATTTATAACTGAATCGTACAACCCTAGAACGTATATATATATATATATATATATATATATATACACCTAGTGGGGGTTACAAACTTAGTTAATAAAAATTTAACTAGTTTCACATGTCAGTCAGTCAGATGCAACGTAGAACTTTGTACGTAAGTACATCAGTTCATGTTGCCATACCACATCAGCACAGAGAAGTAATCGTCAATTCAAATCCAATAGTATAAGAGGTAGTAACGGTATTAGGAGTAATCGGAGAGGAGGTTAGGATTAGAAGATATTATTCAAGAAGTATGTGATTCAGTGAGAAAAGTTTAGAGAGTCGAAACTAGAGGTGTTGAAGAATCCAGAAGATTAGGATTTGAGAGAACACAGAGAATAAATGCACCGGCGCCATTGCGAACGATTTTGGGCCATGTAATTCAAGGTCTCAGTTTCACATGTGCCCCACATCACCCATATTGACAAAAAATAAAACCACATCGAACTTATTTAAAAAAATTCGAAATATCATTTCAACTTAAAAAATTTTTTAAAAAAAACAACATAAAAATTGAACACAGCATGCGATCGATTGAGCGGAGAAAAATAAAGAAAAGAGAACAGAACAGAATAGAATCAGACAGAATTGAAAAAAAAGGAGGCCTCTATTTTTTTTTTTCTGGTTCTTTCTTTGCCTCATAAAGATAAATAATAATAATAATCATGAAAATGCAATTTATATAAAATACAATTCACAATGTGTGCATTGCATTGAATTTACTTTACTTTACTTTATCAACTGATTACTTGATTAGAATGTATTGTTTCACAGTGACATAGCGATGATGATGATGATGATGTACAGTAGTACATAGTTAGTTAGGGTAAACGAACAAAACCTATTCGGTGGTTTCTTTCAATGACTACTGTTATACAACAATAATAATATCACACATATAGAAAGAATACTAATTGCATGTACAACCCCTTTCCCATACACACACCTACATACACACACACCAATATCAATCAGAAGTAGTTCAATGACATCGTTAGGAGATGTGCTAATAAGCGATGACCACCTATCTCATTGGTGCTTGTACATATATTACTGAGTATCAAGTTTAGGAGATGAGAATTAGCGTATATCAGATCGCATTCAAATAATACAGGATACTGCATACAGTATAACAAAGATAGTGTTTGAACGATTGCATTATACAAATAGTCTGATTGTCTTTGTCATGAATAATGAATGCTTATTGTCATTGATCAAATAGGTGAACAAGTCAGCCAGTCTATTTGTTTAAAGCAATAAGCAATTTGTATGTGTCAAGAGAAAACAAAAAATCATGATTGTTTGTTAGGACGGTTTGTTTTTAAGCGATTGGTTTTTGGTCGACATTGTTAACATGATTCGCATTATTCGTGTCGTCATTGGCGTCCTCCTCGTCATCCTCGTCATCATCATCATCAGTGGTTACATAACCATTCGATGTAATATTTGGATAATAATCATCAATATCAGGTGAAAGACATTCTTGTAAACCGATATCATTAGTTACAGCATATGGCATACAACCACGCTAAAAAAAGGAGAATTTAGGGGAGAAAAAAGGCATGTTCATTATTGCCAACTAATGTGAGCTCATTATACACAGAAGTATATATATATATATATATATATATATATATATATATATATATATATATATATATATATATGTGCTGAAGTTAGAGGAACATGGTAGTAGGTAAAGCGGTTAGTCAGACAGTGAATCATTATCGACTAATGTGCGTTATTTACGGCGTAGGCGAGATATTCATCTGCTAACTAAAGAAAACGTTTACTGCTCGGTAGTTCGTTCTGTCCTGTGAAATATAGCCGGTAAGAATAGAGGATATGCGTAGGTTACTAGTTTGTTGGGGATGTTAGATCCCCGAAAATTTGCTTGATAAATGTCTTATTTTTGTTTTCACGTTTGCCTGCATGGGCTGATCAGCTGACCTAGAGATTTCAATTCCCACCAAGAAAATCCGTGGCTGTGATTGGCTGCTGTGTATTATTTTAGTGTGCTATTTTCTTAACTGTCCCACTAGAACGTTTCTATGATGTATAAATAAACGAGAGTTATATGCTTGATTGTACTGTGATTGCTTGGTGTTTGTAGAATATACTTTTTACGCTTACCAAGACTTCTGTTTTACTGTTGGATTCAAGGTAGCCTACCTAGACGCTGGTAAAAGTCTCGTTCGCGTTTATTAACTAAGATAAACTCGTAATACCCTCAAGCATACTTAGTGACGAACCCAATATGGTTTTTAACCATATGTGTCTCCGAAGCATTGATCGTATATCCATAGACAATCGAATAAGCGATACAGTTGTTAGAAAACAGGCACTAGGGTAAGGATGGTAAATCAATTGATGAAGTAGTGAGTGTTCACCATTTGAGATGGTTGGGACATATGTTACGTATGCACAGCCATCGACTGAACCGACAACTTATGTTTTGTGGTGTAAGGGTAGATTGGAAGAAAGCTAGGGACTGCCACACCAAAACATGGCACAAATCCGTGAAATCATTGACAAGTGGACTTATCCATGTTGTTAAATGTAGACTACCACGTTGGAGTTTGCGAGACAATAGTAACCGATGGTTAGAGACCTTGAATGGCATGGGACAAAATCACTTGCAATGGTGCAAGTGTATCCATTCTTTGTCTTCTCTCAAATTCTAATCTTCTGGATTCTTCATCACCTTTATCATTACTACACTTCTTGAATAACGTCTTCAAACTCAAATCTTCCCGATTACTGCACATGCTTCTACTACATCTACCACTAAGACAATTGTGTCTATGTGCTAATGTGGTATGGCAACTTCAACTGATGAACGTACATACGAAGTTCTACGTTGTTGATGACTGACTGACTGACTAACGTAGACACACAATAACCACTAGTGACGTAATAGACCTAGAGGCAGTCAAAGATATATATCATCAATCCATCTGAGATGTACCGGCAGAAACATTCTATCTGGTTAGAATCTGTGAGATTATTGAACACATTGATTCCTCGTTATTCAATGTTTACCAAATATCATCAAAAATACCAACCAGAACTTTGTGTTCATTATCAGTAAGTAACCGGTATTAAGTCAGTCAACTCTAAATCATGATTGGTCAACCAATGCTATTCATCACATTTTCCTTTCTATCTTGTGCCGCCTTTATATATTCATTAATTAGTCCAGAACACACTGTTAACCAAGACTCCATCGCTAGTATGAATAAGTATGTTTCAAACACACATGCTTTGTATATATACACAAACGTACCACACTACATTTTATCAATAAACAGAAAAAAAGATGATAAATATACACTGATGTGGCAATCAAATACAAAAAAACAGGAGATCATATGATAGTTTATGAATTTGATGAGAGAGAGGCTTATGATAAATAAGTCCAAGGATTTATTGACACATGACCAATGGTTTAATCGTAACAAATTGTAGAATAGTGGTAATAATAATAATAACACCTATAAAATAAATAAAGTTTGCACGTAAGTACACATTCACAACAGAAATGTTTTATTCAAGTAATTCTGATATTTATTTTAAAATCGATTACGGAGAAAAACGCACTATTATTTGCCAATTTAATGTTATACCTGGGAATTAATCAGAATGAAGTGGAGATTATAAATTTGCCTCAGAATTCTCTATATTCAAAGTACTCACTAAAAGTTGACGACTTCACTTAACTGGGGAGTCTCATTAGTGCTGATGGCCTGATGTCTAACAAAATCTCAGCGTGGATAGAGAAGGTACGATTGGATTTTGCTAACTTGCGTCACTCATGGTGTAGGTGATATATCCGTTTGCTAACCAAAGGACGAGTGTATTGTGCAACAGTTCGCTCCGTCCTACTATATGGATGCGAAACATGGCCGGTAAGAGTAGAGGATATTCATAGGTTGCTGGATATCGGTCATAGGTGTCTCCGAAGCATTGCTTGTTTATCATGGGACAACCGAATAAGCCATGCTGTTGTTAGGAAACGGGTCACAGGTAAGGGTGGTAGGTCAAAAGAAGTGTTGAAACTTCATCAGTTGAGGTGGTTGGGACATGTGTTACGTATGCCTAACCACCGACTGCATCATCGAGCTAGGCTTTGAGATGTAGGAATAGGTTGGACGACAGCTAGGGGCGGCCAGACCAAAGCATGGCACAAATCCATGAAGTCACTGACAACTGGACTGAGCCATGTTGGTAGGGGTAGACTACCTGGTTGAGGTCCGCGAGATGATAGTAATCGACGGTTAGAGACCCTGAATGACATGACTCAAAATCATTTGACTGACTGACGAATCACTGAGTAGTAAACAATGATATTTTTTGTATGGAATCAAATTTTATTCATTAAGTTGCAATTTTTGACTGATTGGGCTCGTGTGCTGTTACTACCTCGACTACTGTGGGATTTGAATTGATAATTGTGTCTCTGTGTGCTAATGTTGGTATAGCAACTTGAAATGATGTACGTACGTACATATGAAGTTCTACATTGTAGCTGACTGACTGAATAAGTTAAAAATGGTCACAAGTTTAAGTAACTACACATCGTGTCTGTTACAAATTCAATATTAACTAGTTGGAGTCACTCGGTAGGAAACTGTATATCTAGGTTTCGTGGTCATGGGTACTTGGCAGTTCATGAAATCATTGACAATTGGACTAGACTAGTTGGTTAGCGTCGGCGAGACAAACGTAATCAGTGGTTAAAGACATTAAAAATGGTTTTCAACGACCCAGATTCATCCATTCTCCGTCTTCACCGGTATTTTAAAACTTCTTTGTCGCTTTTTAAAACTTATTTCACTAGCTTATACTTTTCGAATCATAATCCCTACTATTATAGGAATTTGACCTGACAATTCAATCTCTCACTGTACTAATGTGCTATGGCAACTTCAACCGACGCACGTACATACCAAGTTTTACATTACATCTGAATGAATGACTGACTGACTGACTAGAACTCGACAGTGGGACGTATAAATCTTTCTTGTCCGTCAGGGATGTTCATTTCCTCCATTCTTGTTTAATTTTATAACAGACATGCTCTTAGATATAACCTTACCCTCGTCTGAATTTTCAGGAGTAGACCTTTAACCTGCTGGCTCGCTTATTGACTTAGAATATGCCGATGACATAGTCCTACTTGGTGAAGACGCTGACGAAATGCAGAGTCTTCTGACCACAATAAGCAACAATGCAAGCATGTTCGGGATGCGGTTCTCACCCTCGGAATGCAAAATTTTGCTTCAATATTGGCTTGCATCGGCAGTGATAGGGAGTGAGGTAGTCGAACGTGTAGACTGCTTCACTTATCTGGAGAGTCTCATCAGTGCTGATAGCCTGGTGACTAACGAAATCTAAACTCGGATACAGAAGGCTCGATTGGCTTTTGCCAACCTGCGTCACTTATGGCGTAGGCGAGATATCTGTTTGCTGACTGAAGGACGAGTGTACTGTGCAGTGGTTCGTTCCGTCTTACTTTATGGTTGTGAAATATGGCCATTCAGAGTAGAAGATATTCGTAGGTTACTGGTTTTCGATCATAGGTGTCTTCGAAGCATTGCTTGCATATCGTGGGACACCCGAGTGAGCAACGCTGTTATTAGGAAACGGGTGCTAGGTGAGAATGGCAGATCAGTAGATGAAGTAATGAAACTTCATCAGTTGAGGTGGTTGGGATATGTGTTGCGTACGCCTAACCACTGACCGCCTCGTCCAGCTATATTTTGCGGTGTAGGATTAGGTTGGAAGAAAGCTAAGGGCGGACAAACCAAAACATGGCAGAAATCCATCAAGTCATTGACGAGTGGACTTAGCCATGCCGGTAGTTGTCGACTACCTGGTTGGGACCCGCGAGATGATAATAATCGATGGTTATAGACCTTGAATGACATGGCTCAAAATCGTTCGCAATGGCTCCGGTGTATTTATTCTCTGTGTTCTCTCAAATCCTAATCTTCTGAATTCGTCAACACCTCTACTTTTGACTTTCTAAACTTTTCTCACTGAATCATACTTCATGAATAATATCTTCTAATCCTAACCTCCTCTCCGATTACTTCTAATACCTTTACTACCTCTTCTACTATTGGATTTGAATTGACAATTACATCTCTGTGGTAATCTGGTATGGCAACCTGAACTGATGTACTTACTTACGTACGAAGTTCTACGTTGCATCTGACTGACTAAGTGGAAAAGGATTAGTAGAATTCTTAAAGATAAGAGAGGATAATTTATACATACCAAATCTTTTGCATAAATCGATGCACCATAATCCAATAATAATTCTACAATATCAGCATGACATTGTTGTGCAGCCCAATGTAAAGCTGTCCAATGATTCTAGCAATAACAACACCAACAACAACAAAGTAGACAGAATGGAATAACTTGTACATTAATTTAAAAGTGAAACCAAGATAAAAGCAGACATTGTTATTTCTAATGAAAGACATCTGTTACAATTCATATCTATTATTAATTTGGTATTCCACTGTATGGAGTGAAAACTTTAAGTACCATGAAAGCCAACGTCTACCAGAGACAGGTGTTTATTGACATGTGTCTGTTCAGAATACTTCGGATCCACTGGCTAGACAGCATCAGTAACAACCTATTGTTGTGGGAGTGAATAAACCAGACTGTGGATGAAGGTGAAGTCAGGAAAAACTGCCGGAGGTGGATAGGATAGGCATTGCGGGAAGCACCCAACTGCATTATGAGACAAACCTTCACTTGGAATCTCCAGGGTCCAAGGAAAAGAGGTAAACCAAACAATACATTAAGTCGAGAATTGGAAGCAGATATGTAAAGAACGAACTGCAATCGGGTAGAATTGGAAAGGAAGGCATAGGACAGAGTAGGCTGTCGAATGCTGATTGGCGGCCTTTGCTCCATGATGGGCAAAAGGTGTAAGTAAGTTGTCTAATCAAATGACATACTCATACTAGAAGTAGATATTGCTGTACAGATACATATGTATCAATTCAGAACAACAATGGAAAGGATGGTAATTGTCAGGATTAATTTATATGCTATTATTATTGTGTAATTACTAAGTACCTAGATTATTAAGTATATATATATATATATATATATATATATATATATATACGCATATATACTATCAATCTGTTGCTGCTCTGTTGTATGTGGTCTCTTTTATCTATAGCCACTTCTGATCTTTTCATTTTAGCCCAACCACAGCTGTTACCTTGACATGATGGTCACACTTGCCTATCGTGATCACCCAACCGAGCTATACTGGCTGGAACATATGTTCCTGAAGGTTCTACAATGCCAGGCAGGTCGATTGGAGAACGATGAGACTAAAAACAGCTACTCGAGGTCTGAGGGCGAAGTCGTAATGCTGACTGTAGAGGGGTGTGACAGCAGTGAGGTGTTTCCCTCGGACAACCAGCATCTGCAGCAATGTCGCCCACTTACAAGGAAGGAATGCATTAGAGAAGGTCAACCCTAAAAATGTCACACGTCACCTTACCCCACCGATTTTCGTCTTCCGGGGTAAGGCTATTTGGAGAGCGGAGCTAACACCTTAACGTCGCATTAAAAGACCATGCGTGACTGACCTTTAGTAGCTGTCTCTTGAGCTCTGCAGTCACGCTGCCAGGTCACTAAGACCGACACTAATCTAACTTCATTTTCAAGTTCCTCAATAAACACCCTTCCATGGTGTGGGCAGCCGGGAAGTGACATCTGTCCTCACACCCGTAACAACGCATGAGACCAAATAGGTCGCGACCAAATCCTTCTTATACCTTCCAATAAATTGTTATTTTCCACTTATTGGTATGATGTGGTCAAGCATACTTGTATATAGACCACATATATTTGAAATATACGATTCGCTTCGTTTATCGGAGGCAGTTTATTGACTTCTGGACTCAAAGAGCAGGGCAAGGAATGAATCCCAACCTGGCAGGGACTTAGCCATCAACCAGAGGTTATGAGCTCGTGGGCTGGTTAGCATGCTGACCGTACGAAACCGAAACAGGTGGTAACTTACCGAACCTTTCATCTACAGGTTTGATCCATACGACAGTGAAGCGAAGTTAGGAGATGGAGTCCTATAGTAGCCACTGACCTATAAAAACTTCACATATCACTTATTATCTAAAGATCCTGGAGCCCATGTACATCATTAATTAAGAATCAAGGTTTCTCAACCCTAGATAGTGCCGGACATTCGCTTTTAATCCTCTGAATTTCGTAAACAACATCCCGTCCATGAGAAGTTCGTGTGTAGGGATTTCCATGGTCGTAGCCATACACGCATAGCCATATATGAACATTTCGAGAAAGGGAGAGTGGACCCATGCCATTTACGGCTCGTATTAGTGATATCAAAATCATTGTTTTTATATTAATAGTTGAGTTATTCTGCAATCCACTAAAAATCCACATGAGTTTTTCATAGTACAGCTTCCTAAAGTTACAAACTTGTTTGATCCTTTTATAAATCAATCTACTGATCAAGTATGAATCATAATTGTAGATCATAACATAAGGAAGTAAGCGATAAATTCACAAGTCATTCATTAAAACTACTTTCTCTAATGATCTATACAATGGTGAAAGTGTCTTTTTCTTTGATCAATGATCAATAATTCTTAGTAAATAATATTGATCAATTTTCAAAATGACAAATTCGATAAAGTAGATTAGGGAATTTCTCCAAAACACTGGGAATTTTTTTTGTTTTAGAAAAAAAAAATCAATACCTACTTACCTTATCCGTAACAGCAACATTAACACCACGATCCAATAGTGCTCGAACAAGTTCCAAATGTCCATGATACGATGCGAATAGAAGTGGAGTAAAATCAGCCTGTAAAGGTATTAATGTGTCATTTTATTCAGAAATAATATATATATATATATATATATATATATATATATATATATATATGCCTTAAATTAGTTTTCATTTAGGAAACAATCAAATGAGGAATTTATTTATGGTAATTTAATACACATCAAGATGAATAAAAATGACCACCAGAATGTATATGCAGTAGAAAACGATAAAAAATAAGATTGTGAACAGATGGAGAAAGGAAGTGCGTATATATATATTTTTTCTTGTCTTATTAGTGAATTAGTAGTAGTAGTAGTGTGGTGCGAGCTACTTATAAGTAGTATATGACGTGAGTGTCAACGTAATATCTGGTAGCAGCAGAAGATGGGTGAAGATCAAGAAAGGAAGAGTGGGGAGAACACAATTGAATTTGTATGAAACGCATGAATAGTGAAATGTGAGACAATGGATTGATGATGGATTGAAGATTTGCAAATTAACGGTTACGATATGGTTTTCCTATTTTACTGAGTAACTCTGTAATTTTCGTTAAATACAATTCGGTTGCCCTCACCTGTGTTCTCCTTCACTATAGTAGTAATAATAATGAGAGAAACAGTTTAGTTAAAGAAAATACAATTAGACAGAATCTATTTAGTTTACGAAATTCCTCTTACTTATGTGAACAAAATGAGATAAAGTTACAGTATAACAGCCAATGGTTTTCATTTTCAGCCATTTCTGATAACATCTGAATCCACTGAGTTACATCGTCGCTTGGCACCTAACTAAGGGAGTCTTCAAGGACCAATAGATACCAGTCTTGTATAGCTTTCTTTCATATTGCAACACAATGTAATACAATGATCACCTCTCAGCTTTTTCTAACCAGTTTAAGAGTTGGCGAATAATGCATGAAGTGGGACAACTGAGTAAGCAATGGTGTTATTAAGAAACAGGTACTAGGTAAGGATATCAGGTCAATAGATGAAGTAATGAAACTTTATCAGTTGAGGTGGTTGGGAAATGTGTTACGTATGCCTAACCGCCGACTTTACGGTGTAGGAAATAGGTTGGAAGGAAGCCAGACCAAAGCATGGCAGAAATCCATAAAGTCATTGACAAGTGGGCTGAGCCGTGTCAGTAGGTGTCGACTACCTGGTTGGGACCCGCGAGATGATAATAATCGATGGTTAAAGACTTTGAATGACATGGCTCAAAACCGTTCGTAATGGCGCAGGTGCATTCATTCCTTGTATTCTCTCAAATCATAAAATTTTTCTTTTTAAGTTTATTTCAATAGATTCTACTTCTTGAATAATATCTTTGAACCCTAATCTCTTCGAATACTGATAATACCTTTACTACCTCTACTACTATTGGATTTGAATTGACGATTACATCTAATTTGGTATGGTAACATGAACTGATGTACGTACGTACGTACGAAGTTCTACGTTGCTACTCATTGATTGGTTGCACGAAGCGGAATTCGTTGGAAAATTTGAAGTTTATATCTAAGCCATCAAGGTCGGTGTTTCGAGATAGTGACACAAACCGAACTATTGTCAATATGCTTGGACACACGCTGCCTAATCTGTAATAAGCTTTCGTCACTGAGTGTGAGCAATACTTAAGAGACAAAGATGATGGAATACAGAAATTCGCTTAATATCTTCGATTCTGAGGGCGGCTTTCACAAGAATAGAGAAAAGCCGTTCTTACTGACGCGTTGTGGATCTGACCTTTTAGAACCAGACTAACATTGGTGTAAGCCGCTCTGGAATTCAATGTACGTGAACTGGTTTCACCACCCAAACATACAACTACCAGCACTTACACAGCTACCCACATACATGAACTTTTCGGTTACTTCTGTCCGCTTACTACCACCAAAGAGTGAGTGTGGATTCAGCGTTTTGCATGTCTTGTAAAAGTACTTTACACTTAGAAGGTGAAAAGTACAGGCCATACCTATGGACACTGATTATCAACTGATTTAAGTGCGGCTGGTATGATTTGGGAATCATCACTCATTAAGACAATCTCATCCGCATACTCAAGGTCTTACTCCAGGTAATAGAATCACACAACTGAGGAACTACTAGAAATCAGCCATCATTAAACAATCATATTATTCCAATTTGAAACTTCTTAGTAGTGTTCAACCACAAAATTTATACATGTATTCAAACTGAAAACCGCTGAATCCCAAATCAAGAAACAAAACAGTTGCTTAGCTTTTCTAGTCTTTCAAACAGTCCATGATGAAATTTGAAGCTTAAATGAGAATGTTTAACAAATGTCTTATTTTAGTAGAGATATGATGTCAGAATGCTGGCGGTTTCAAGAAGCAGTAGTCTGTTAAGCAGCAAATTTCGCATCAAAAGAAATCAGCGACCTATCAGAAATATTTGTATAGTTCATACTGTTAGCAAATTCAAAAGAACCCCGTAATACATATACTGACGGACTAATTCTAACTTATCCACCAGTCAGCGTGCAATTTCGCAGTAAAATGAATCGAATACTCACACAATAGGTCTTAAGTGAAAAATCTTATTTATACGTCTTTGGTAAACCATACATGTGGAGGTAAACGAGACCCAAAAAGTCTTAGGTTATTGTAGGTAAAACTATTAATCCTTTTTCTCAAGAGATCCCTAAGTACATTCATAATTCGCCTCTTGGTTAAGTCTATGATACTTCTATCTACCATGAATTTCAATACAGTTGTTGAACATACACTAAATCTTAACGATATAATTAATCAGTTGTGTTGATTAAAACAACCTTTTGAGCTGTTATCTGATTGTAATATCATGACATCACCATTTCATTTAAGATTTCATAATGCTTCCCGGTTTTCCGACGTCACAGACATAATTTACCAGTATTCTGACACTAATTCAAACAACTATTAATCGTGGGTACAAAAAAACAAAGTATCTTTCATGCAAAAAATTATTATTTACTTCCGAATCTAAATCATTTTGAGAACATGCTCTTAAATTCATATTATCCAAATCGATTGATTTTTCTTCACAATGACAATCCAATGTAGGTTTATTCAAATTTAAACTATCATCACCGGTGCTAGTCGTCGACGTAGTAGTAATAGTAGTAGTAGTAGTAGTAGCAGTATCAGAAGCAACCGTAGTGACACTTGGTTTGTAATCAATAATGCTGACTAGTGTTTCTCGTTTACATTTATGCATACATTGAAGAAGTAATTCGAAATTTTGTAGAATTCGAACTGAATCTTTCGATTTAGTTCTGCATAATTCATGCAAAGGAATTCGTCCATTCTACCACAGAAAAAAAATTGAAAATAAAACAGTTCAAAATTGAAGAATTTTTATAGAATATTTATTTATGTAAACAGGATGTGGTTTTCCACCTCGAAATGCAAAATTTTGCTTCAAGATTGGGTTTCATCGGTACCTGAACTAGTGATAAAGAGTGAAGTAGTCGAACGTGTTGACCGCTTCACTTATCTTGGGAGTCTCATCAGTGCTTATGGCCTGGTGACTGATGAAATCTCAGCTCAGAGATACAGAAGGCTCAATTGGCTTTCGCCAACCTCCGTCACTTATGGCGTAGGCGAGATATTTGTTTGCTGACCGAAGGACGAGTGTACTGCGCAGCAGTTCGCTCCGTCTTACTTGATGGCTGTGAAACATGGCTAGTGAGAGTAAAAGATATTCGTATGTTACTGGTTTTCGATCATAGGTGTCTTCGAAGCATTGCTCGTATATCGTGGCACACCCGAGTGAGCAACGCTGTTATTAGGAAACGGGTACTAGGTAAGAATGGCAGATCAATAGATGAAGTGCTGAAACTTCATCAGTTGAGGTGGTTGGGACATGTGTTATGTATGCCTAACCACCGACTGCCTCGAAGAGCTTTGTTTTGTAGTGTAGGAATAGGTTGGAAGAAAGTTAGGGACGGCCAGACCAAAACATGGCAGAAACCCATGAAGTCACTGACAAGTGGACTGAGTCATGTTGATAGATGTAGACTACCTGATTGGGGTCCGCGAGACGAAAGTCACCAATGGTTAGAGACCTTGAACAACGACATGGCTCAAAATCGTTTGCAATGGCGCAAGTGCATTTATTCGTTGAGCTCTCTCAAATCCTAATCTTCTGGATTCGTCAGCACCTCTGCCTTTGTCTTTATAATCTTATCTCACTGAATTATAACTTCTTGAATAATATCTTCGAACTCTGGTCTTCTTCATTACAATTAATACCTCTACTATCTTTATCACTATGGGATTTGATTTGACATTTGCGTCTCTGTGTTAATGTGGTATGGCAACATGAACTTATGTACATACGTACGAAGTTCTACGTTACTACTGAACCTTAAAAACATGATCTATTGACCAGGTATATAAACATCAACCTGTCAAATGAACACCTTTTAACAAATAAGAAAAAGATGATTATCATATTAAGATTAGTGAGCAGTATTTACTTTATTCTTTAAAAATGGACTTGAACCATTGGCAAGTAACATTTCAGCTATAGATGGATGATTCCAATAGACAGCATTAAATAATGGTGTCCAACCATTTTTATTAACGATATCCACATTGACACCAGCAGATAATAACATACGAGCATTCACTTCATTGCCTGACATAGCAGCATGATGTAATGCTGTGTTACCTGCCTATAAAGTGATCAATGACAAAAATGGTCAGGTGTATATATATACATATATATATATATATATATATATATATATATATATATATATATATATATATTGATATACTTACTGAATCAAGGGCATTGATATCAGCTCCAGCTTCAATAATCATTTGTAAAATACTTGGTTTACCTTGAGAACAAACATGTATAGGATAACATTCGTACTAAAAACAACAGAATAAGTTCCATAAACAAACATACCACATATGATCGCCAATTAACATCAACACCAGATTCAATTAATCGCTTTGCAGCTTCTTCACGTCCAAAACTACAAGCAATCCAAAATTGTTCTTGTTTAGATATATAACGCATGATTGGAATGTTGGGCGCATTGATTTTATTGAAATTTTAGGTCAATGAACGAGTGAAAGCAGCAGTTCGTTTTACATAAGTTCTTAATCTGTAAAACAATATATAAACATCAGTAGAACTCGATTGGAAAACATCTGGATATCTGAAAAAAAAACTTCTACGTTTATGCAAAGAAAATATAGTACAGTACTTTGGTTCAGTCAGTCAGTTAGTCAGTTGCAACGTAGAACTTCGTACGTATGTACATAAGTTCATGTAGCCATACAACATTAACACAGAGACGCAAATGTCAAATCAAATCCTATAGTGATAAAGATAGTAGAGGTATTAATGGTCATGAATTATAATGGTCAAGAAGTATAATTCAATGACTTACTTACTTACTTACTTTCGCCTGTTACCCCAAATGGAGCATAGGCCGCCCACCAGTTTTCTCCAACCAACTCTGTCCTGGGCTTCTTCCTCCAGTTCTGTCCAATGTTTGTTCATTCCTCTCATATCTTTCTCTATTTCACGGCGTAATGTATTCTTTGGCCTTCCTCTTTTCCTTTTGCCTTGAGGGTTCTATGTGAGGGCTTGTCTAGTGACGCAGTTGGGTGCTTTTCGTAGAGTGTGTCCTATCCACTTCCGCCGCTTCTTCCTGATTTCCTCCTCCACTGGAATCTGACTTGTTCTCTCCCACAGTTCGTTGTTGCTGATGGTGTCTGGCCAACGAATACGAAGTATTTTGCGTAGATCACTGTTAATAAACACTTGTATCCTCTGGATGATGGCTTTGGTAGTTCTCCATGTTTCCGCTCCATACATTAGAACTGTCTTGACATTTGTATTGAAAATCCTTATTTTGGTGTTGATTGATATCTGTTTGGAGTTCCAGATATTTTTCAACTGTAGAAATGCAGCCCTTGCTTTGCCAATCCGTGCCCTCACATCTGCATCCGATCCACCTTGATTGTCGATGATGCTGCCCAGATATGTAAAGGTGTTAACGTCCTCCAAGGCATCTCCATCAAGAGTGATTTGATTGGTGCATGTTGTGTTGCATCGGAGAATTTTGCTCTTTCCTTTATGTATGTTGAGACCTACTGCTGCAGAGGCTGCTGCTACACTCGTCGTCTTCTCTTGCATTTGTTGTTGAGTGTGCGATAGAAGAGCCAGATCATCTGCGAAGTCCAGATCGTCCAGCTGCGTCCTAACTGTCCAGTTGATACCGTGCTTCCCTCCAGATGTTGACGTTTTCATAATCCAGTCGATGACCAGCAGAAAGAGAAAGGGTGAGAGTAAGTAACCTTGCCTGACACCGGTCTTCACCTCGAAAGAGTCGGTTAGCTGTCCTCCGTGCACGATTTTGCAGTTGAATCCATCATAAGAGTTCCGTATGATGTTAACTATTTTCTCAGGCACCCCGTGGTGTCGAAGAAGAGTCCACAGTGTTTTCCTGTCCACGCTATCGAATGCTTTCTCGTAGTCGATGAAGTTGATGTAGAGTGGTGAGTTCCATTCAATTGATTGTTCCACAATGATCCGTAATGTAGCAATTTGGTCAGTACACGATCGATCCTTCCGAAATCCGGCCTGTTGATCTCGAAGTTGGGCGTCTACGAACTCCTTCATTCTGTTTAACAATACCCTGTTGAAGACTTTGCCTGGTATTGAAAGAAGAGTGATGCCTCTGTAGTTCTCACACTTGCTGAGATCGCCTTTCTTTGGTATTTTGATGAGGTATCCTTCCTTCCAGTCTGATGGTACTTGTTCCTCATCCCAAATCTTCTTGAAGAGGATGTGAAATATTTTCGCGGTTGCTTCTACATCTGCTTTCATTGCCTCTGGTGGAATGTTGTCTGGTCCTGCTGCTTTGCCGTTCTTGATTTGTCTGATGGCCATACTGATCTCCTCAATCGTAGGTGCGCCAATATTAATTGGGAGGTCCGTGGATGCTGCTTCGATGTTGGGTGTCTTCAGAGGAGCTGGTCGATTTAGGAGTTCCTTAAAGTGCTCTACCCACCTATTTCGCTGTTGTTCAGTGTTGCTGATTACTTTGCCTTCCTTGTTTTTCACTGGTCGTTCTGGTTTACGATAGTTCCCGGCGAGCTTCTTTGTAGTTTCATACAATTGTCTCAAGTTTCCGTCTCTAGCAGCCTTTTCCGCCGTCGTTGCTAGATCTTCCACGTATTTTCGTTTGTCAGCTCTGATGCTCTTCTTCACATCCCTGTTTGCTTCTGTGTATGCAGCTTGTGCGGTAACTTTCTCCGCTCTTGTTCGGCTGACATTGATTGCTGCTTTCTTGTTCCTCCTTTCTTCAATTTTTGCGAGAGTATCAACAGAGATCCATTCCTTATGATGCTGCTTCTTGCGACCAAGGACCTCCTGACATGTTGAAGTGATTGCCTCCTTAATCCCTTTCCAATTGTTCTCCAATGTTGCTTCCTCTCCATTGTGTAGATCCTGAAAGGCCTGGAACCTATTGGTGAGGGCTATCCTGAATTCGTTGAGCTTTACAGTATCCCGAAGAAAGGCCGTATTAAACTTCTGTGATGTTGTCTGTCCCGTTGTCCAGTGCTTCTTTAGTTTCAGTTTCATTTTGGCGATTAGCAAATGGTGATCTGAGGCTACATCAGCTCCTCTCCTGGTTCTCACATCCTCCATGGTCCTTCTGAACGTTTTGTTGATACAGATATGATCAATCTGGTTTTGAGTAGTGTGATCCGGTGAAATCCATGTAGCTTTGTGTATGCGTTTGTGCGGGAATATTGTGCCACCGATGACCAGTTTGTTGAAGGCACATAGGTTTGCAAATCTCTCACCGTTTTCGTTTCTTTCTCCCAGTTCATGTCGTCCCATGATGTCTTCATATCCAGTGTTGTCCATGCCAACCTTGGCATTCAGGTCTCCCATAAGAATCGTCAAATCCTTTGGTGAACATTTATCGACGATTGACTGCAGCCTTTCGTAGAATTGATCTTTATCGTCGTCATTGTAGTCGTTGGTAGGTGCATAACATTGGATGACGTTCATTGTAATGTCCTGTTTCTTTGTTTTGAAGGATGCTTTAATGATCCTGGGTCCATGAGATTCCCATCCTATTAGTGCCTTTTGTGCATGTTTGGACAGCATTAATGCAACTCCTTGTGTATGTGAAGCATTTTCCTCTTCATGACCAGAGTATAACAGCAGTTCCCCTGAAGCAAGTCTCAGTTGTTCTACTTGTGTCCAATGTGTTTCACTGATTCCAAGCACCTCGAGGTTGTATCTTTTAATTTCTGCCGCAACTTGAAATAGTCTTCCAGTCTCCCACAATGTACGAACATTCCATGTACCTAAAAATATGGTTGCTCTGGTTGTCAGAAGAGGCATCAGCCCCGTGACTTCCGAGGGAACTCGGCTTTCATCACGCGACGTCATAATTCTTCCTCCAACTCCCAGGGCAGAGTTAAAATGGTTTGAATTATTTTTTCTGGTTAGCGTTTTTTTTGGCAAGTTAGTTTTTGACGGAACGGGGTCGCCAACCCCATGTCCAACCCTCCTCCTTTACCCGGGCTTGGGACCGGCAGTAGCCCCGAAGGTTCTACTGGCGGAGTTATAATTCAATGACATAAGGATAGAAAGACAAAGGTAGATGTGCTGACGAATCCAGAAGATTAGGATTTGAGAGAGCTCAAAGAATGGATGCACCTGAGCCATTGCAAACGATTTTGAGCCATGTCGTTAAAGACCTCGAACGACATGGTTCAAAATGTCTTTTACTGTCAATGACATCATGGATTTGTGCCATGTTTTGGTCTGGCCGCACCTAGCTATCTTCCAACCTACTCCTACACCACAAAACATAGCTCGTCGAGGCAGTCGGTGGTTAGGCATGCGCAGCACATGTCCCAACCACCTCAACTGATGAAGTTTCATTACTTCATCTATTGATCTGCCATCCTTACCTAGCACCCGTTTCCTAACGACAGCATTGCTTACTCGGTTGTCCCACGGCATACCAGCAATGCTTCTAAGACATCTATTATCGAATACTAGTAACGTACGAACATCTTCTACTCTTAACGGTCATGTTTCGCATCCAAATAGGAGAACGGAGCGTACTGCTGCGCAGTACACTCATCCTTTAGTCATCAAACGGTTATCTCGCCTACGCCATAAGTGACGCAGGTTGGCAAAAGCCAATCGAGCCTTCTGTATCCATGCTGAGATTTCGTCAGTCATCAGGCTATCAACACTGATGAGACTCCCCAGATAAGTGAAGCGATCAACACGCTCGACAACTTCACTCTTTATCACTAGTTCAGGTGCCGATGCAAGCCAATCTTGAAGCAACATTTTGTATTTCGAGGGTGAGAACCGCATACCGAACATGCTTGCATTGTTGCTTATGGTAGTCAGAAGACTCAGCATTTTGTCAGCGTCTTCACTTGGGTTGTTCAAATCCAGTTAGACAAATTAGTCACAATGCATATTTCTAAAGTATCACACTTGATGGAAACCGTACTGATTTGAAATCATTATGTTTTTGGTTAATTCGGTTCAAAAATCAGAGATAAACTGATCAATGACAGTTAGTGCTACAATTTAAGATATATCATTCAATTTTTCGAGTAAGATTTCTTTTCTTACAATAAATAAATGAGAGGAGAAACTTACTTCACTAAATAATTTTCACTGTTTACAATTATTCAGAATTCATTATAACCTTTAGAGTAAAAAATGCAGAGTATTTGTTTTAGAAATGATCAAATTAAATTACTCGGTTACACACAAGTTAAAAAGATCAGATAGCTAGTTATTAGTTTATTAAACCAAACTAAACCACGAGAATAAAGCAACCATAATAACTTCCAATGTATCAATTTAAAATGTAACAACTTAGAAGAATACATATTTGTAGTAGGTCCTAGGATTTTTTTGACTGACAGTTCACCTAAAAACACTAATGACTGTTTATTGGATTGTAAGAATTTATAAAATTCTTTGGGAAATATGTGTGTAGTCATGCACGATTTGGCATAACCTTCAGTTTAAACCCTGGTAATCTTTAAGCCATTTTATGGTCTGAGGGTAATGTGACAATTTTCTACCCTTTCT